ACTCATGTTCTCTTACTGAGAAAGAAGAAAAAAAATAGCCCTTAGCTGTCAAGATGATTTAGCATGTTGCAAATGTCTGGACACACATTACGTTATTTGTCTATGTGACAAGAGAAGATACCCTCTCAAACCAGAGCTAATTAATTACCTGCATTATGGTGTATGTCCTACATACACCCCAGTGGAAGGTGTCCCTGCCCATGGCAGGGGGGTTGGAACTAGATGGTCTTTAAGGTCCCTTCCAACCCCAACCGTTGTGTGATTCTATGTATTTGTACGCACCTGAAGCGAAGCATGTGCTTCTAGAACACTGAAACAAGGGCTGTGGTTTTAGAAAACGGAAGTAATATTCTTCACAGCTGTTCAACCAAAACCTGCAGGATCTCTGGCAAAAGGATAAGCCTACCAGCAGTGCTGCCTAGCTTGGGAGCTCCAGTTCTGCTGCACTGATGGAATTTTGTCAGAAGTGGGAGCCCAAAGGACAAACCTTCAGGGGGATTTTCACAGCAAGAACGCAGCCTGTGTCCTGCCCCTTTCCGACTCGTGAGTTTGCCGGGCTGAGAGTAAAAGATCGAAGGGGAGCTGAAGCCAAAGACACAGCTTGTCTCCACATTAAGCTGCTCCATCCCCTTCTGCAAGGAGCTGCCCAGATGACCGAGCGCTCTGTGAAGCCCGGGCAGGGGAGTGATTAGGGACCTGCTTTGGAAAAAGAAGCCCTCCTTCCCACCAGCTCTGACACAACGGGCCTGTGCGTACGAAGCAGCTGTTGCCAGCGACAGACGGCCCAACCCCCGGCACCACGCTCCTGCAAACAGAGCGCTGCTGCAGAGGCAGGGGAGCTCATCTGCACCTTCGCACCGGCACCTCCAGCGCCAGGGCAGGAACCGACGTGGCCGTGGGTAACAGCCCAAACGAGGGCTGGGAGCGCAGGAACAGCCCGGGGCCTGGGAAGAAGCACACTTTCCCTCTGAGGGCAGTTCTCCCGGGTGGAGCTCCACCGGGGCGGGATTTAACCAACACGCTGCCCCC